ACGCCATTAAATCGTTTGCCGTTCAACTGTTTTATACCTCTATTTGCCCTAGTAACCTGATTACAATATGGTTAAATGACTCTGAACAAAGAAATAATCAACCGGAGCTAGGGCTACAGGAGCCCGGAGCTGAGGTCAATTCATAGAATCATACATTATTTTTTCAAACCATGAGTTGGATGACGAAGATGGAATTTTTTCTTCGAGTCTTGTTTTGTATCAACTTTTGAGTATACATGTGTGTGTGTCTAATGAGTGTTTATTTTAAACGGAGTTTTACAACTGTGAACTGATCAGGTCAAAAGTTGAAAAACATTCTCACTATTTCTGTTTATTTCTGCACTATTAAATCATTTATTTGAGTTACCTGTTTTATTTCCTCGAGTTTCTATGCGTTCATAGCTCCTTGATTGTGTTTGTCTCGTTAAATAAACAGAAACAAGTACTTGTTCAAGTTGTTGTCAGTTGGCTACCGGCGTCTTCAATTTGCATCATTCATCTGAATCATTCAAGCGTTTTAAAAACCGACCTCCGGTCCCGGATATCGTCACGAAGAATAGTTATCCATGTGCAAATAGTACATGCTGGTTTCCCCATTCAATAGTCTATTATAGACCAATATCCAGTGTTTCTTAGCATAATCAGCATCCCGACTTTACTGACTCAATTCATTTTTAAAATGATATTTACTGCTTAAAGTCCTGACTAAGTAAGACATATAAATGAACAAATATTGAAATAACAAATTCGTTTGTTTACAAGCATCATTTACATAGGAGCACCCCTTTAGTAGAGCATAAAGTTTAACCCTTAAAACTATTTGATATATTTTAATATAATATAAACTATATTGTTAGATAGAATTTCAATGAAGTTATTTCATTTAGTTGAAGAATATATATGTTTAATCCAATTAACAGCCTGTCTAATTGGCAATCATACCCTCACATTTATTACAGCTAAATAATATTAGAGACATTATTTAAATTAGTATATATGCCTCTGGTAATAATTTAATGTCAATCAATAATTTTCGATAACATACATAGCACATTAATGCATTTGCCTGGGACACTATATAGGACTTTAAATATGTTTATTATCTATAAATTTTAAAAGATAATTAAAAATATTTGAAAATTATACAGCATTTTTAGGTGTAAAATTCCTGGTTTTTCATGTTTCAAGACTATAGTTTTTTTTTTAATAAATAATATCAGATCTATCAAAGTTGTAAATTTAAGTCATGCTTCAGTGATTCCCTATATAATCAACCAAAATTTTTCCCATAAAAGGGGGGGGGGGGGCAGATGATATATGTAGTTACCCTAACTACCCTACTTTTTAGTCTTAATAATAGCCTACCCTAAAGATTTTTTTGTCATTTTTCATTAAGCACTGTTAAGTCAGAATGTTACTCCCATAGACTCATTGAATGTAAAAAAAAAACACAACATAAAATTTAAATAAATCCCTACCTAGTTACTACTGAAATTATAAAATTAATATTTAGTTTAAAATTTTTCCCATTGATTGACAAACCCTGACAACTCATTAACTCAAAAGGAAAAATTGAGAAATCTTGATCATTATAAAAAGGTTTATAAAATATTTTGAAGTGTACCAACACATAAATTGCAATCCAGTTGATACACATACAATCCCTGAAAGAAGATATTTTCTTTTTTCTTTCTTTTTTTTAGATTAGGGAGTAGTTAGCCTTTACCGCTTTTGTATAATCATATTAAATCAAACATTTTTCATATTTCTGATAGCAAAGCAGTTTTAAAAATATACTGCACTTCCAACATGTATACTTTGACATGTTTGATAAACATTCAATTTAACATTTATTGACAACATTTGGCCCAATAAAATTCTTTTCAGCACACTTACTTATTTTTATTCATATGTCCTATTGTTAATCTTATGTGTGGTTCAAAGCTCAAAATTGCACTTGACTTATAAGTTTGAGGAAAAGTTTAATACACAGCAAAAAAGGGAGATAACTCAGGTTTTGAAGTGATATTCATTATCAATTTTTTTCTTTGCAATTATGGAAAGTAAAGGATCTTAATTACAGTAACAGGAATCTATTTCAAAAGCTGGAGTTACCTCCCATATTTTATAAGAGTACAAAAATAAAGGAAACTTTAAATGTGTGAAAGAAATTAAGTTTACTGATAAATGAAAATAGAAATATTACTGATAAATCAATATTAGCCCATCAATATATTCTAAGTATCTTAGGAATTTGAAATCAAAGATACAAATTCTACCATTATTGCTCTACTAGAGATAAATATAAACAGTGATAGAAAATACAACTCAAAACCAACACTGATCTTTTTGTAGTTGCATCTAATCCACTATCAAGGGAGATAATTCATGCGAAATAAAAAGATAAATATTAATCATTTGATGGTTATATGTCCCCTTTTATGTAAATTATATTAAAGTGCTAGTAAAAATGTTCTCCTGAGTATGTTTTTAAAATGTTTATTGTGAAATTTTGTTAGAATTTGTTAATTTTTGTATTTCAAACAAATAAAATATCTATATTCTTATTCTAATTCTTCTTCAATAATTATTTTTACATTTTGGCGATTATGTCAAAATGGCAATAATTAGTGCACACACTTAATTATTTTAAACAGTGATTGTATCTTGTGCAAAACCAACCACGTAAGCACATTATATAAAAAATTAGCCTTGGTCAGATCAAATGAATTTCACGTGAATTTCACGTTAGTCAGATCATGTGAAATTCACCTGAGTCAAATCATGTGAAATTCACGTGAGTCAAATCATGTGAATTTCATGTGAGTGAGATCACGTGAATTTCACGTGAAAAAAAGTTTATGTGAAATTCACATGAATTTCACATGAGTTTCACGTTAACAAGTTCACGTTAAATTCACGTAAGTCAGATCATGTGAGTTTCACGTGAATTTCATGTGAATTTCACGTGAAAACTGTTCACGTGAAATTCACATGAAAAATTCACGTGATATTCACGTGAGCAAAAATTCACGTGAAATTCATGTGAAACTCACGTGAATTTTACGTGACTTTCACGTGAAATGAGACTCACGTGAAATTCACGTGAACAAAATTTGCCTGTGTAGATTGAAGTCAAAAGATGCAAACAAGTTGAGCATAGCATTACTAACTGAAGATAATACTTTTTTGAGAGAAGAAATATAACAAAATAGTGAAGAAACAGCACTATGAATATTTTAGTGGAACGATATGTATGAAACGCATGCCTAGAACGTTTACCTTTTCGTGAAGGGAAGCTTATAAAGCAAGGATTGTTACCTATATTCCCAAACTAAAGAGTTATCACATGTGTTTTGTTTTGTACACCAAATGTCGTTAACCGAAGAACTTGTAAAGAATAACAGAAAACACAAGGCTCACGTTTACGTATTTATGAATTCTGGACAAAGCTTGACATCGCTAGGTAATTAGAATAGAAGGACTCATTTAATATCATATTTCGATACAAAAGTCAGCCATTTGAATGAAGATGGAAAAGAAAAGGCCTTACTTAGCATGAACAACATATGTTTGATATGCCCATTCTGGAAATACTAAAGATAGTTGCAACTATTCTTTGACGTTTCGTATTACGTAAAGTCACTAGGAAATGATAATATCAGCAAAAAAAGGAAAACGTAACAGTGCCACTATTTTAACATGTCTAACGCATTTGCATCCAGATATGTAGAATCTTAAGATTAATCGTACATCTTCATTAAAAAAATTTCAAGGGCCATGCCCAATGGTGCGTCCACGAACCGACTGTAAAGACAGTGTATATATAAATTGCTTAATTTGTCCTCTGTAGTTGCTTTATCTAATACCCACTATCTTCAAACCATTCAGATGGAAGTCCTACAAAGAGATCTGGACTAGTTTAAAAAAAAAAAAAAAAATGTTGGTTAGTTTTTTCCCATGTTCAAAACTGCGTGGAATATCACGATTCTAATGAAGGGATATGTGAATATGACATCCGCCAAAAGTTCTGTTGCTGTGATACTCTGTTCTTTGGTAGAAGCATCCACTTTGTAAAATTGCAATTCCTTCTTTAACATCGTTGTCGCTTTTAAGATACAGTACAGTAACGTCTCGACATAACTACACAATCTACTTTGTGTGGATTGTCTTCCGTTACATTAAAACTATAAAAGTCTTGCATTTTAGCATTTTAGAGTTCTACTATATACATTGTACGTGTAACTATTGTTGCTGTGTTTGTCGTTCGATCTACATGTGTGTTTACATTTTCAACAACTGTGAAGTTCTATCATATGTATTTAAAGCAGCACATTAACAGTTCTCGGAGAGGTTTAACAAAATACATGCAGACAGAATGAACAAAAAAGAAAATAAAACAACAATTATAACAGTATCATTTCGCGTATCCAGAACATTAGGCACAAATTGTAAGTTTGATAAAAAAAAGAAAAGTAGTTTAGCAATAATCAAATTTCATATAATTATTAAAAAGACGACTCGAGGTAACACACATAAATTGATAGAATCGTATGAACTCTTCAAAGAGCGACACTGGGTGCGTCGACAGTGTAATCGTTTCTTGCTATACTTGCATCACCCAACATGCGAATCTACACTCAGTCAAAATGTCACAATATGGAATAGGAGATACACTCGTTACAATTTCAATTTAGACGAATATTTTGGTATCAAACTATCTCATACTGTGAAAAAATGTTGATGAGCTGAGACATATACAAATCATAGCAGTCAACCAGTTTGTTTTGGTAACCGTAAAACTTATACAGTGACGATTTAAGTTGTGCTTCCTCATAGCCCTTTTAGAGCAGGTTTTGTATAAGGAACACACCCCTGCTAATGTAGTATGTATAGTGGGAACATACACGAGCGTAACGTATCAATTGACATATATCAGCACCATACGATGGATCAAAGGGTATGCTACTGCTGAGAATAGTAAGTTGACAATTGGACTATTGAAATCATCAGGTTTATCATGGGTTTTAATTTAGTCCAGCTGATTCGTGCATATTTTTAGAAGAATTGTGGGTTTGATGATAAAAGCATGAAACTTTGCACATATATATATATATATATATATATATATATATATGTGGTAGTCAATTTAAGCTATGGACCCACTCTGAAAAATCCAATATGGTGGCCAATTTCAAGATGTCTGCCAATGAGTCTAAATTTTACAACCATGTATAAATTAAAGCAAATAATAGTCAAACCGAATCTTTTAAAAACATATATATATGGATGCTGCTTGAAATACAATTTTATCAAAGATTCATAAATGGAAAGATTCGAACAATTATCGAGACCGTGGCCATCAGACTGATTTGTTTGATCATTAGGTACCATCTGAGTCACAAATGATAATGGTTATGTTCCACTTCTCCTTGCCACAATTTTTTCGTTTTCCTCGTTTGTGGTAACATTAAGATGATAAATAAATACGACTAATCACCGAATTTCTGGCAATGATTATAACCATGAGTGCTACCAGTTGGCCAAAAAATAAACACCCTTCCGAACACCTGCGTTTGCCCCTAGTTTTAATGAACAGGGACTCGTGTTGTTTATGCTTTCAATGTTGTGTTAGTTGCTCTTTATTTTTCAATGTCTGTGTTGTCAACCAGTGAAAGTCTTGTTTATCCATCGTACAGACGTGGAAAACCTTATTCCA